AGAGGTTGCAGTGAGCCAAGATCACACCACTGCACTCCAGCCTGGGTGACCAGAGCGAGACTCTGTCTCAAAAATAAATTAGTTTGTACCAATTTTTTTTTTTTTAATTAAAGGAATCGTTTTCAGGCTCAGTGGCACATGCCTAAGTTCTCCCAAGACAAACCCTAATTCCCCCACTTGGGGCAGCCCTCTTAATGGTTCAGACAAGCAAAAATGAGTATATATAAGCACAAAGAATTGGGGCTCCTAAATAGATTGCAACCTGTGCCTTCCAGAATCTCTTGCAGCCCACAGTGTACGAATCCCTGTTCTCTCTGTTGCTCTCAGCTTTTAGCATTAAGCCCATGGTGCACAGCTGTTACCCCTGTAGGCACTTGGCAGGGATACCCAGGAACAGCCACATATGATTGGCCATCAAGCCCCACCTGCAAAGCTACTGGGTTTTCCAGCTGCCCTGGCACACCCTAAGAATTCTCCCCCTGCCCGAAAGGGCTTGGCGGCAAGTGGCTGCCCACCTTTCCCCCTCTACCAACCTTGCCTCCTGGGGAACCAGTAATGAGGGCCCAGTAGAAACCAGGGTTGAGGGAGGGAACCCAGCCCGCAGGGTGGGAGCTGGGTGAGCCCCCACTAACCTCATCAAAGGTGATTTCTTGACTCTGCCAGTTCTCAATGTTGAAGAGCATGACCACTCGGCCATACCTGTCCCGACTAGAGAGGACCCCAGGGTAGCCAGCTTCAATGGTGCAGCGGACGGCCTCTGGGGACAGGCTGTCAAAGAGCTCAGGGTACTGCAGCCGGAAATTCACATAGCCTGGTGGAGGGTGCGGAGGAACCCCTTCAGGGAGCCATCCCATCCCTACCCCATCCCACCTAGTGGGCATCAGGGACCTGGCCTCCTGCTTGGCCCTTCCACATAAGTCCTATTTGAGACCGAGCAGGCTACTCAACCCTATCAGAGTCCCATGTTTGCTCTCCAAAAAATGGAATCTCAATATTGGCCTATTATTCTAGATAGTGGCCTATCTCACCAATTAGTTGAGGCAATCAAATGAGATTCAAGGTGTAAATATCATCATAAGCTTGTGCAAACATGAGACGTAGTCCCAAATATGAGGAGAATCATTACTTGTTATTTTCTTTCCCATGGGGACAAGGCACAGATTTTTCAGCTGGGCACAGGGTAAGCTGAGGGGTGAGGTGTGCGCAGGGCTGGGGAGGAGCTCCCAAGTAAAATCCAAACCCCAGGCAGGACACAGAGCCCTTCCTGATTCCAGCAGCATCGGTTCTGTCCAGAAACGCCCCATCTGTACCCATCCTGAACAGTTCCCCACCTCTGTGGCCTGAAGCACCAAACTGGAGCCCCTAGAGGACCTGGGCATCTCTGCCAAAAGACTGCCACACCAACTTCCTCACTGCTCTGGAACACTCCAGGCACCTCCCACCTCCCACCTCCTGGCCTTTGTCTTGGCTGTTCCCTCTGCCCTGGCTGCTGTTCCCCACAGATATCTCATTTCCTCTGTGTTTTTCTTCAAAAATTCCCTTTGCGGCTGGGCGTGGTGGCTTATGCCAGTAATCCCAGCACTTTGGGAGGCCGAGGTGGGCGGATCACAAGGTCAAGAGATGGAGACCATCCTGCCCAACATGGTGAAACCCCATCTCTACTAAAATACAAAGATACAAAAACATTAGCTGGGCATGGTGGTGGGCGCCTGTAGTCCCAGCTACTCGGGAAGCTGTGGCAGAAGAATCCCTTGAACACCCAGGAGGCGGAGCTTGCAGTGAGCCAAGATCGCGCCACTGCACTCCAGCCTGGTGACAGAGCAAGACTCCGTCTCAAAAAAAAAAAAAAAAAAAAATCCCTTTGCACTGGAACTTCCCTGGCCACTTTATCTAAAATTTTACTTCATTTATCGAATGTATTATTTCCACCATTAGAATATGAGCTCCACCAGGGCAGGGAACTCTGGTCTGTTCTCTTCTCCACTGCACCCCTTGGCCTATAGCAGTGGTCAGCACAGCATGGCCCTGAATTACCGTTTGGAGAAGGAAGAAGTAAGAAAAGGAAGATCGTTAGCCTGCAGAGGGCCTGTGCAGACCCCGTTTCCCTCCCCCAGTGCCCAAGACTTGATTTCTTGAGGGATCCTGTCTTCATCCAGCCAGCATTCCCAGGCCTGGTAGCATCTTCCATTCCACTGCACATGAGGCTTAGCTAGCCGCCCTGAGCGAGGCACTGTCCAGCTTCCTGCAGCATTCCAGGGCCAAGGCCTGGTTCTCAGGGTGGGGGACTCCAGAGATAAGGAAGGGAAGCTCCTCCCCTCACCACCCAAATGGGGGATACCCAAGTTTTACCCAGTGAATCCCAAGACTGGGAGAGAGTTGAGAGGACTTAGAGCTCTCGGAATCTGGTCCTGACACACTCCATTCATTCATTCATTCATTTGTTCATTTTCGGAGCAAACCCATTTTACAGGTAAGTATATGAAGGCTCAGGGAAATTGACTTGCCCACAGTAATGGAAGCAGCCTCTTCAGTGCCTGGGAGAGAGTGGACACCATCCTCACGGCCCCCCGCCCTACTAGGGCCGGCCCTCCAGCGCGGTCCTCACCTCTGAGTAGCTCATAGGCACGGGCCACATTGAACTTCCGCGCGCGGATAAAGCGCAGGAAGAAGCCACTGTCCTTGTCCTGCACCCTCTCCGCCACGGCCACAGCCAGCTCCTCCCCGGAGGCGGCCTGAGCCTGCACCATCTCCTGCAGCTCTCGAACCGCCTCCTCCCGGGTCTCCTCTCTCTCATTCAGCTCATCCTTGGCCTGGAACAGGGTGGGGTGCGCATGAGGTTAGGCTTTGGTGCGGGTGAGGGGCAGGACACACAGGTGATGAGTCTCCCACCAGAGCCAGACCAGCCCAGGGGGCCCAGGGCTCTGCAGCAACCCCTCCCTCTTCTGCCCCAGGGACAGCACCTGAGATTGCTGTGTGTGGAAAGAATTCAGTCAAACAGTTCATCCTGGATATTTGCAGAATATGGCCAACAGTCTAAATGTTTCTAATAATGACAACCTAGGCTCACTGAGCCTTTCCCTAGCAACCTGCTGAGTCCTTTGAAGGCATTGTGTTTTTACATCTTTGCACAGCCCACATGGTTGGTGTTCTTATCCACATCTCTCAGAGGAGCAGACTGAGGCTCGACAAGGTGAAGATATTCTTGCTCGAGGTCACCCGGAGAGAAAGGAGTGGAGCTGGGACTCCTCTTTCCATCGAGTCTCCCTGCTGCCTCCCAAGCTTCGTTCCAACTTTTTCAAAAACACAGCTCTCCGGCACATGGCAGCCTGCCTCCTGCCCAGAGCCTCACTGTCCTCCCTCTGCGGGCCTCAGGCCGCTGTCTCCCAGCACAGTGTGAGGAGGGAAGGGAAAGGAGGGGGAGTCAAATGTGAAGGAGCTAATAGCACCTTTCCTGTGAGATGTCCAAGGAAGCTGAGATGGAAGCTGGGAGCCCAGGCTTAGCTCAGCCACTTCCCCCCCTCCCCAGCAGCTCTAAGACAGCTGTCAGCCTCCACAGAGCACAGTCTGATCATCCCTGAGCTAGTTCACTATCTTTCACAGGTACAGAGGGCAAGACCCAGAAATGGAAAGCCATCTGCTCAAGATCACACAGCAAACTGAAAGTAGATCTGGCTCTGGAACTCGGGCCCCTTGCCCATCTAGCAGGGGCAGCAGCTGGATCCTTGCTCCCCAGGGCCGTTTCCAAACCCATGATCCTCACACTGAGTCTAGTTTAGATGGCCCCCATTCAGAGGCTCTGGGCTGTAGTCTTGAGTTGGGCTGGCTGGGTGTCTGGTCAACCCAGTTGCTGCCATAGCTGTGACCACCAGGAAGGACCCTAGAACAGGCCAGTCTATCAGGTCTAGGATCTGGAGTTCTGGGGCTGCCCTTTTTGCAGGAGAGAGGACGCGGTCAAAGTCCCCTTATGTTGCCCCTAGGTTGCCCCTCCCGGCACTGTCAGCCACCTCACCTTCTGCAGGGTGTGGCGGGGCAGCTGGGTGCACGGACCAAATACGGGTCCGTGGTCCTTGGTTGTGAGCTGCTCCAGCTGGGCACGGAGTTCCTGCTCCTCTTCAGGGACCATGCGGAACGTGCCCACCTGGGCAGAGAAAGGGAAAACAGGAACAGCCCGCTGTCAGCCCCAGCCAGCCAGGGAAATGACCTGCTCATACCTTCAACTCATGCTCTTACCCAAGGTCACTGTTAAGCCCCCTCATTTTGTGAGGTCAGGACCCACAGAGAGGTGAGAGGAGTGTGTGCCTATAATCCTGGGCAGAGCAGGTGATAGAGGAGTAAGGCGGGAGGGAGAGGGAAGAGAGGGGTGATGGGTGGGGGAGCGCCCGGAGGACAGGGCACTTACCCCTTCTGACATATTGCCTCTGGAAGACACAGAGTCCTTGGAAAAAGAAGAGATCTGCTTTCTCTGTCCTGGGCTCTCCAGTCGGCCCCTTCGGTCAGGGCTGTGGGGGTTAGAGAAGCCATTCTGTTATTGTCTCAGAACAGTGGATCTCAAACTTTGAATGGCATCAGAATCACTCGAGGCATTTGTTAGAAATGCAGGTGCCCAGGCCGCGACCTCCATGCTTCTGACTCTGGAGGCGCAGGCTCAGGCCTAGGCATCTGCAATTCAAAGCACACCCAGGTGGCTCCCAGGGAGATGGTTCTTGGGCTACACTTTGGGAAACACTGCTTTGACGAAGGGCACACACGCAAATTGCTCAGTCCTCAGGTGTTCAGACAAGTTGGCCCCGCCAGGGAAAAACAAGAGTCTGGCTCCATTCCCAATGACACAATCACTGCAGGATAAGGCAACCCTCCTCCCTCCTGTGGCCATCCTTCTCCAGCCCAAAGGGGTCCCTCAGACACTTCCCAGCCTAGTGGATGGCCCTTTCCCCAATTCATTCACTCTCAACATGGGCGATGACCAGTTACATAAGTACATAATCACGAGGCTGGGAGTGTGTTCTGCGCTTTGGGACGCGCCAAGTACTCCCAAGTCCACTCTCTCAGCGCCATGGCTGGCCTTATTATTCCCGTTTGACAAGGAGGAAACAGAGGAGGGGGGAGAAGTGACTTGTCCAAGGTCACACAGCCAAAAAATCACCAGGGATCAGGACTCAGACCCAAGCTGTGACTTCCTGTCAGCACCAAGAGGCAGCCCACTGTGGCACAGAGGTCAGACCTGGGTTCAAGTTCTTCTTTTCCGCTTGCAGGCTGTGTGGTTTAACCCGAGCCTTGGCTGTTCCCTGTAAAGTAGGAATGGAAGGGTTGTGACATGTCATTTAAAAATGGACACATAAGCAATGCTTGGTTACCAGGACAGATCCCATTAATGGCCCACACGACCACCTGCTTCCCTACTGGGTATTTTTGGAGATAACTCTTCTGTTTCCAGGTTTCCTCTCCTGCCTAAATGTCCTGCCTAAGTGCCTTCGAGAACGCTTCACCATCCTGCTCCTTCCTGTGACCAGATTCTATGGTCAGTTCAATTACCTCGTCACAGCTGGTAAGTGACAGAGCTGGGATTTGAATCAATGTCTGCCTGACGCCAAGTCTTTTTTTGATGCCTAGAGCCAAGACATCTGCAGGCAAACTCCCTAGGAGAGCTGGTGTCATAGAAACCCTAAAGGTTAGGGAGACCTGGCTTTGAATCAGGCTTTGTCATTTATGACTTGTATGACCCTAGCAAGTTATTTAACCTTTCTGGGTCTCAGTTTCCTCATCTGCAAACTAAGGGTAACAACAGTACCTACCAAAAAGAACTGTCATGAAAACTATACAATTTCCGCAATGCTCCTGGTGCAGCGTCCTGTTCTAAAACACAGTTTCCCTTCTCTTCCTTAACTCCATATTGATCATGACCCTAACTTGCACAAAGAGACTTGGAGGACCCCAAGGAATATCTAAGGGTCCCCCATCTCCTGCTCCATCCACTCCACAGCCCCAGCAAGGACAGGGAAGTTCTGGGGGCCATAATCCACCGACAGGAACCAAATCTAAGCCATCTTTCTGGCTGGTAGACATCCAAATTTGTGGGCACAGAGACAGACTGGAATGCTGCTGTGTTATCACTTGGGTTTTGCTGGAACAGGAATGGAAATGGAGGGGCTGACAGACCGCCCTAAAGAGCCCAGGCAGGAGAGACAGTGGCTGGACACCCCCAGCCAGTTGTGCAGACCATCAGAACAAGATCCGAGGTCTTAGGAAAACAGGGTTCAAGTCTGTGCAGCAACTCTTCGAAACATGCCCAAGCTGTTAACTTTGAGTTTTACATATACTGATTGACAAGCTGTACACAATGAAAAAATGCCTATCCCTCTCACCATGCCGATGCTGTTCTCTGCCATCCCAGGTTGCCAATTAAAATACAGAATGCCCAGTTAAATGTGAACTTTTTTTTTTTTTTGAGACAGAGTTTCATTCTTGTCACCCAGGCTGGAGTGCAGTGGTGCAATCTCGGTTCACTGCAACCTCCGCCTCCTGGGTTCAAGCAATTCTCCTGCCTTAACTTCCTGAGTAGCTGGAAGGCATGCACTGTAGGCATGCACCACGAAGCCTGTCTAATTTTTTGGATTTTTAGTAGAGACAGGGTTTCAGCATTTGGCCAGGCTGGTCTCAAACTCCTGACCTCAGGTGATCCACCCACCTCTGCCTCCCAAAGTGCTGGGATTGCAGGCGTGAGCCACTGCGCCCAGCCTAAATGTGAACTTTTTTAATACTAAAAAAGTATTTGCTGTTCATCTGTAATTCACATATAACTGGGTGTTCCGTATTTTTATTTGCTAAATCTGCCATCAAATTGGTCTAGCTCAACCTGGAGCATAGCCAGGTAGTTTCAGTTTTACGGGCAGCTTGGGACACAGTCTCCCTGCTCCCCTGAGTCCTTACCCCAATCCTGGGCTCCCTGGCCCAGGCAGGCCCCAGGTATTGACTTACCTGCCAGGTTGGCAGCTCCTCCTTGGGGCTACCTGGTACCTGAATGTCCTGGGGCTCTAGAGGTTGCCTCCGCTGGAGGCGTGGTCCGGTCAGCAGGTTGGGATTAGTGTCATAAGGAACTTCTCACCGCCCACAGTTTCCGTTAAATCGGGCTCACAGGAGGCCCGGAGTGGGGCAAAGGAAGACCCGGAGAGAGAGGGGAGAGGGGAGAGGCCTGGGCCTGGCTGGAGACGCATCAAAGCCCTCCTTTGTGTGCTCCTGCTCCGGAGTTCCTGCTCAGCCATGTGGAAGCCCGGCCGTGGGGCTGCTATCTGGGCCAGTCCCATTCCCTTTTCCCTGCCCTCTTTCTCCTCAAGATCCGGGCATGGGGTTTGCTGAGAGAGCGCCCCGCAGGGTAGGAAGAGGTGAAGGGAAACTGTGAACGTGATTACATCGACAGTGGCAGCTCTGGCCAATCCAGGCTTGTGGCCCACCCTCTCCCGCAGCCCGCAGGACCTTGGCATGGTAGTTTTCACCTCTGCAGCGAGTGGAGTCAGTGGGAAATGTGGCTGGTTAAGGGCAAGCAGGGAGAGGATGAGACAGGCTAAGCCTCCTTGTAGATAGCGTGGTGCAGCGGATGGCATGCTCTGGAACCAGGCTGCCTGCTTAAAGCCTTGCTCCAGCATCCTCTGGCCGTGAGACATGACTTCAAAACTTGGCAGCTCTAAGTTTCCTCCCCTAAGAAGAGGAGAAAGCAGGAGGACCAGGCTCATGGCTTTGTGTAGATGAAACTGCAGTTAAGTGCTCAGTTCAGGGGTTTAGCTGCCTGACCCTTAGTAAGTCCTCTGGAAAGGTCATTTACTGCAAATACGGGGTCAATAGGCACCGAACTGGAGGGAACTCATTATTCAACCCTTTGTACAGGAACAAACCCCTCTGCAGCCTCTCAACAGGCAGCTTTCCAGATTCTGTTTTGCCATTCCACTGAATGAAGAGGAGGTGATTCCTCTAGAACATTCTCTGTCCAGGATTCCAAAGGCAGGAAGCTCCCTGTTTCCATTGTGAGGACTCTCCTTGTTTAAAAGCTCATTGTTGGTCTGAGCCCCAAGCAGCTTCCTGTAATGACCACCTTTGGTCACGGTTTCGCTTCCTAGAGGTGCCCGGGACAGGCTCAAGCTCCCCTGCACAGGTCGTTCTCCAGAATCCAAGCCCAGAAGCACTTTTTTATTTTCCCTGGACATAGTTCCTGCTTTGCCACCCATTCCTACCTCGGCAGGTTTGGGATCTCTTCACACCACCCCGTCCCCTGCTGACCCCTTCCTCCAGAGCCAGCTACAGTGCCTGGTGCTTAGATCTTGGGGTGCACACCTTGAGCTCTTTGCTTCCAACACCCTTTCCCTGGGCTCCTGCTCTGGCGCTATCTGGGTCTTGGGCTGTTTCCATCCCAAGTCCTCTGTGGAGCTGGGATCCTTCATTTCTGTCATTCTTCCTCCTGATGGTCTAGTCCTACGCTGTCCTATACAGTAGCCACTAGCCACGTGTAGCTTTTCAAGCATTTCAAATGGGTTAATGGTAGAGATGGGGTCTCACTATAAAAAATTAAATTTAAAAATTCAGTAATATGACCCAAGGACTAAATTTGGTGGGGTGGGCTGGGGACAGAGTCTCACTCTGTTGCCCAGGCCGGAGTGCAGTGGTGCGATCTCAGCTCATTGCAACCTCTGCCTCCTGGGTGCAAGTGATTCTCGTGCCTCAGCCTCCTGAGTAGCTGGGATTACAGGCGTGCACCACCACACCCAGCTAATTTTTATATTTTTTGTAGAGATGGGGTTTCATATGTTGGTCAGGCTGGCCTCAAACTCCTGAGCTCAAGTGATCCACCAGCCTCAGCCTCCCAAAGTGCTGAAATTACAGGCGTGAGCCACCGCGCCTGGCCTTAAATTTTTAATTTTATTTGATTCTAATTATCTTAAATTTAAATTTGAAAACTAATACTGGATTCTGTTTTTTGAAAACTTTTAAGTAGGTTTAGAACAACTTAGATGTGTGATCCTATTTTTTTCAACTGTAAATTTTGTGATGAAGTATTTCTCCTAAGAATTTAGAGTCCCAAGTGAGATGTGCTGTAAAGTACCTACCAGATTTTAAAGACTTAGTACAAACAAAATAATGTAAAATACCTCATTAACAATTTTTATATGCTCACTGTTCTGAAATGATAATGATTATGTTTGGGATATATTGGTTAAAAATATATTAGAGCTTGTAATCCCAGCACTTTGGGAGGCCAAGGCCAGAGGATCACTTGAGGTCAGGAGTTTGAGACCAGTCTGGCCAACATGGTGAAACCCAGTCTCTGCAAAAAAACCCACAAAAATTAGCTGGGTGTGGTGGCAGGCACCTGTAATCTCAGCTACTTAGGAGGCTGAGGTAGGAAGATCGCTTGAACCTGGGAGGTGAATGTTGCAGTGAGCTGAGATCATACACCACACTCCATCTCAAAAAAAAATACACACATGAGCTAATTTTGCCTGTTT